AGTAATGGTTAATCAGATGTATAAAACTCTGTTCTCTGCAGAGGATTCATACAGTTTTATGCATCTTTGGTCATGCACATTTGCTGTGAAAAAAGAGATGTGTTAACTGCAGTTTTGCCAAGTGCAAAACTGTGTACATAAAGTGAATGGTTGCATATCTAAATAAGGTGTGCTCTTGGATGCACAGTTTCTGTCCACTTTTCTGAAATCAGAACATGGTTCTGACCATGTTAAAAGAGCTGCCAAGAGCAGACAGATCCCTGTAGTGAAGAATAAAACAGAGAGAGTTTCTAAACTTTTGTGTTAGAAAAGAAGATACAGACTGAACTCAGATTGCCTCAGATATCACCTAAAGTTGCATTATCTATACATAGTGGGAACAGAGCCCTCATTAGGCATACCGATAGATGAAAAATTTCTTTGGCAGTGAAAGCTAAAGATGCTTCTTGAGTATATTGACTTCTGTTAGCAATTTAGTGCAAGTCCTGCAGTGAAGACTTACGACAGTAAAAATAACAACTAGGTTGTCCTGCTAGAATCACCAGTGGAAAAGCACTCTTTCTGTCTAACAGTTGCCAAAGATAGCTTTACAACTGTGTAAAAGCTATTAAATACACCAAAAACGAAATCGGTCAGCTTCCTTTTGTTTTTTTTTTGCTTATAGATTTTCTACATGTACAGAGAAACAAAATGAGGACCAGGAGGAACTGTCTTCTACTTGCTCCACAAGTCGACAATAGTCGACGCATCTGCCAAGGTCGCCTTGTTCCACAAGCCTTTTCTTCCTGGCTTCCCATCACACATACAGCAGGACAGACTCCAGTTCTGGGAGTCTGCTGTGAAGAAATGGCATCACGAGGTCCCTCTGACACCTTTTCAGTGGTCCCTCCTGCAAACCTGCAGTTTAAATTGGAAGCATTGGGCCTAATTGCTTCTCACAGCCATGCTTATGCCCTTTGTTTCCTTATTTGCTAATATATTTTCATTAGCTTTTTTTTTAGTCTCATACCTTACAGCCATTGTCAATGCGCCTCATGGTGTCTTAAGTTTTGTTAACAGCAATATGTTGCCCCGGTCCTCCAGGTTTTGAATGTCTCCTTCGCTTCCTCAGAAAGCACATGTTTGTTTTGCCCGTTTTGTAAACGAACAAATGATATTTCACTTATTAAATGGTTTTCTAAAAGGCTCTTTTTGGTCCCTGTTTTTTTTTTTTCAGAAGTATTTTTTTTTTAACTTCGGTGTAGACTTTGTTTCTCCTCAGAAGATACAAATGCAGTATGCAGTTATAAACTATAAAAAAAAAGGCGAGGGTTTAATTCTTTTAAATAACTACTGAAGATATTGTATACAATTATTCTGGATATGTCATTCTTTCATTAATAAAATCTATATTTTCATGTCTATTTTGTGAACATTTTTGATATCTATTTGTGAAGCCCCTACCTTTGAGGGTGGCAAAGGTAAACTTGGGAACTGTAGTATACTAGAAGATGCTAAGAAGAGAATGTTGATGTTTTTTGGTGTTGTCATACAAAACATTTCTGAACAACAGCTTGTCATGGTTGCTAGTCTTACTGTCAGAGATGGCTATTCTTTTTCCAATATGTCGATAAGGTTCTGTGCAGTTAGTCTATATATGTGATTGCCCTGAAACACTGGTTCCAGATTTCTGTGTTCTTAATCAATTAAATGGTTGCAATTAAAAACAGCAACAACAAACCCCGATCACAGCCAAGAAATCACTGAAACCACAAGAAGAGAGGGTATTTTCATGTGATGGTGTTTCATAAATGAACAGATTTCAGCTTCCTGAGTGGGCTACTTTATATAACATCCAGAATAAAATATAATCAAGTTATTGAAAGTATCAGGGCATTAGCCTTTTTAATAGAACAGAATGCCAATCTAAAGTACCTCTTCTTTTGTCTCAGAGAGATATCAAGTCACTTTAAAGCAGAATAGGTCTGCTTGGGAAAATGCATTTTGGTAATTCTTCACTGGATACGTTTGCGTGCTGAAATCTATATTCAAATATACAATGTGTTTTGTGCCAAGAAAATGACTCCACAGCATGACCATCTGCAAAGCAGAAAATACTCTTGGACAGATTTGGAACTCAGCATGTGGTCCCTGCTGCAGACTGCACACTAGCTAATTTTACAAGAAATCTAGATAACTTTGCACTGGTATTTCTCTGCAATCACTGCCTAGCCAATGAAATGGCATGTAGCTTAGAAAAGTGTGGCAGGCATCTATGTCAAATAACTTCCTTCTCGGAAAGGAAGAAAACTTACACACATCCAACTTTTCCAAAGTCTATGCCACTGTTTGGCCATGCAAGTATGTCCAAGATTTCTGTTTTTGCATTGATTTCTTAAATAAGCATTTGCATGTACGAGTCAGATAACTGCACTCTTGACCTAGCAGCTATTTCTGGGTCTGATTTTGAGGCTTAGGTATTTATGCTGCAAATTTGACTTCCTGCAAAAAGGGATGTCAGCTCTTTCCTGCCTAGCAATCCAAACTAGAAATAAGCTTTAGGGTGTTTTCTTCCGTGGGTACGTGCAGGATTGGTGCTGAGAAAGCCATCTCCTGGCTTGGCAGGTTACTCCCATCTCACATGGACACTCTTGCTTTCAAAATATCTTTTCTGAAGTTGCTGGCATTTGCAGGAGAAGTTGTCTGAGTACATTTATTACTCACAGAATTTTCAGAAACAAAGCAATTGTCCAGTGTGCCTTATCTGAATAGCATTACAATGAGCTGTCACCTTTGTCAGGTCTTTCCTCCATTTCCAGTGCTCATGCACGCTTTTTTAGTGCTGAGTTTGGTTAAATTGTGGTGTGGGGACACCCAGAGTTGGAAAATCTGTACTTCACACTTTGTATGGAGTGCAAGGTCACGTATCATGGCTGTGAGTTGCTTACTGCTCACCTAGCTCCTCTGAGATGCAGTGTACAGTAGTGTGGAGTCTCCTTTGGAGATCTTCAAAACCCGCCTTGATGCAACCCTATGCAACATGCTCTGGGTGACCGTGCAGGGGGTTGGAGTAGGTGACCTCCAGAGGTCCCTTCCAACCTCAACCATTCTGTGATTCTGTAATGGCAGCCAAGGTGCCTGGCTAACTGGGCAATGGGCTTCAACCTGCTGTGCCTTTACTGTCCTGGCCTCAGCTGACCTTTATCTGCAAGGTCCCTGAATGAGATGGTTCTAATGAGCTTTGTAATCCTGGTAATCAGCAGAATCCTACAGACAGAAGGCATAGGAGTGGAGGGAACATTGCAAGCACCGGCCACGCACTAGAAATATGACGAGCTCCTAAGCTCTATTTGTCAGGAAAACGAGGAAACTCGCCTTGCTGCTGCAAATAGAAAATGGTGGAGGCAAGTTGGAAGAAAAAGGAAATTGCAAGCAAATATATCTGTCAAACACAGTTCATGTTTCTGAAACAGATATACTCTTTGTGAAAGGCAAAACCTGGAGGCAATCTTAATACACTAAGCAGAGCGTTGGTGGGAACAGAGGTAAAGGCATGAGAGGAGGAGACACAGAGGACAAAGAGACAAATGTCCAAGTATCATATTGATAAGCAGGTGTGTTGTTTGCCCTCCCATTTTTCTAAGATTTATCAGGACTTCTTCTTTAAACCAAAGAATTTTAAACCTGCTGTGCAAGAAAAGTTGGTGACTACTTTTACTACACACTAGTTTGAATTTAAAGAGGCATTGTGGTGATTTGAACTTTGGATTTGGCCCTAGGTAAAAGCACCTAAAACTTAACTATGTTGCGACTACTGATGAATCCATAACATCATTTGTTGAGCCGCTATAAGTTAATTCAGTACATATGACCTTCCTGACTCCTTTGATGCTCCCGTGTATTCACCTAGAGTGTAGATAATATACCATCCCTCTCATGGCATTAAATTCAAGTAATTTTTTTTTAATTATTTTTATCAAGGTGCCGTTTCAAGATTTGGAATATTTTGACAGCTCTTCATGGGCATGCAGTTCATGGTCTTGCATTCTGTTGTTTGTTTGTTTGTTTGTTGGTCATCTTCCAACCTTAAGCATTCTGTGATAAAAAGAGATTTAGCCAAGTAGCTAAGCTGATCACTATTTATGTCCTGAAACAATCTAAAAGATTTGTTTGTAGTTGAAGGATTGGAAAAGTTTGCGCCATATGTAGCTATTTTCCTAATTCAAATTCATTTTCAATGTGAATTTCTTCACTCAGGCTATTAGCATGACAGAAAGAGTGAAGCAAGATTAGAAAAACTGAAGGAACATGTTAATGGCATTCGTTTTCTTAACCATGTAAAATTATGACCACAAATGCAAATATACTTTTGGGTATATGTCAAATATGTCATGGGAGTGAATCACAGTGAACAAATATCGGTTAAAAAGTTTTGTGACAAAACATGTCAAATGTATCACATATAACATGCATTTTATCAGGAACATTTTAGGGTTCTGGTATTATGTCAAGACAGGAGGTTTTGCTCTGTTTGTACAGGTGTACAGTAAGTAGAAAAAAATACATTTTTTTACATTACAAAAAGGTCTAAAGCAATGCTTCTTAAAGATATCTCTTACTGTCAGATTCCCCATGACTTTAATACCTTTTTCCACTCTAATTTTTTGGGTGCAAAATCTATCTGTCGTTTTGTAGATACAAAAATGAGAGTTGGAAGAAGGTATTAAAAATAAATACTCCAATTTACAGTTTGAAAGTTCTTTTGGATATTATCATCTCACGATGCTGTCCCTTACACTTACAGTGACCATTAACTGTTCTACATTAGACTGAAGTAATCTAAATGTGAATGACGTGTTAGTAGTGAGAGAAGACCTAAATGATCCACTGTCTGTCCTCAATTGTGCATGCAAATATGTCTGGAGCTACTCTCTTCCAGTGTAGTTCAGCAGTAAAATGAAGAAACCCATCCACACATCCATCTGCTATAAAGTGTTTTTTTTTTTTTCCTGTCTCTTCAGGGAAGCAATCAGTCGTGTTTGTGAAGCTGTACCTGGTGCCAAAGGAGCCTTCAAGAAACGAAAGGTATTCTTATTTTTGTTTTAGTGCAGTTGACCATGTTTTTTTTAGTTCAACCCAGAGGAGACTGGGTGCAGCAGGCAGGTGAGTTTAAAAGTAGCTTTGAGAATTGTAGATCATTAATCATTTGAAGTATAGGCTTTTTTCACCTGCTGTATGTAGCCTGTCACCCTTTTGGTCAGGATCTTCCTTTATAGGCGACTAGAACTATGAGTGCGTCTAGGAAGTGATTGTGGCTTGCCTTCGTGTTGCCTCCTGCAGAAAATCCCTGCTTGCCTGTGTAGGCTGTTGGTAAAAGGCTCAAAACCATCTAAAGGGGATGCTTTTTCATACAGTGCATGAGTAAATCATGGAAAATGATTCTGGAAGCTTTTGCAGATGCCAAAAATATAAATAGTTTTGCAAGTGGTTAGCTCAGAGCATGGTGGATAGCCCTACTGGTGATGATTATCACCTGAGCTGCTGGTTTCTGGAAATGGAGAGAAGGTACCAGGTGATTCTCAGGTGAAATGAGGTGATTTCTGATACTATTTGCACAAACATCTGCTGCCAGCCTAGCTGCGCCCACAGCTCCCACTTTGCCTTGGCCACATCAGGCTCGTTTTCTTCTCCCAGAGCCATTGCCGACTGCCTGTACTTCACGAGGCCATTGGCAAAGCCAGAACTTGCTTTGGAGCGAGTTTAAGGGGAGGAGTGTAGAATGCAATTAATTGTAGCTGCTATATTAGCTACACAGCTGTTAGCTGCTGTTTAATAGCTGTTGGGTTCAGAAGGAGACTAAGTAGGTGAAGGAAAATTCCTGCTTGCTTTCCCACCTGCCTGGTTATTTAGGCAGGATTCTATCATGAAAGGTGAGACAGGCATCTGGCTTGTGCAGTGGGCAACCTGGCTCCTGGCAAAATAAGGTGATGGAGCAACATATATGTTACTGTGTAATGGAAACCATCTCAGAAATTACAGGGAGTCTCCCTCCCTGCAAATATATCCCATGGCATTTTTAGGTTCTTTGCTTGGTTTTGATTTTTAAACCTGACAATAAAGGTGAAAATTTTTTTTTCCTTGAAAAGCAAAAATGACACAAAATATGACTGCAAAAGTAGGTTAAAACAGAGTCCCAACTGCCTAAAGAGGCACCTTGCCAGATTACTTTTAGAAGTGGGACTGCTTATCCTGCTTATCCGTTGCAGAAAAGGTATGCCGTTTTTAAAATAAGCCTGTCACTGAAATCAGGAATAAACCTAACGCCAATGTAGCATTAAGAAGCAGTCATTCTCTTTAGTATGGTGCTGAATACATGGGGGATATCTCCTTGTATCGTGCGTGCTGTAAGCTGTGTTAACCAAACCTTATATTTCTCAGTTATCTACATATGCATAACGTTTCCCAGAATGACCATACATATTCAATCAACTTCCTAGAACTAATTACAGCATACCCCACCTTTGCGTGTGTGTGTCCTCTGTCCCTTCGGTGATCCCCCTAGTGCTCGTCTTTCGGGGTCCTTCCGATGAACTCTGGGAGCTCACTTCCATATATGGTCTCTCTCATATGGTCTCAGGGACCCCTATTTTGCCCCCATTGCCCAGTTTCAGCTCGTTCCTTGAGGATATGGTGGTACTTATCTTTGTCATTGACCGGTGTTTGCTGTTTTGTCTGTACTCTCTCATGATGTTCCAGCAGCAGCTGCTGATTTGTCCATACTCTCTCATGATGTACTAGCAACAGCAGCGAAAATTATGTCCTTGGGTGCATTCTTGTCTGGGGCTTCTCATAACAAGCCTACTGTTTGCTGAGAAATTTTGCCCAGCAACAGGATTACAGCTAAATCTTACAGACAGGTGGCTTTTGCACTTTCATCACTCCCTGTTTTTTTTTTTTTTTTCCTTGCTGCTTCTAGTTTATGAATGTGGTTAAAGTGAAATGTACTTCTGTGGGCTAGTTTTTGCACAGCTTGTTTCCCACACTGGGTAGAGGTGATCTTCAGACAGGAGTGCAGGACTGAGGTGAATTAAGGAGGAGGCTCCAGAGAAACAGCATTGTTGAAAAGGGTTTGCATTAAAGAAAGGTTAAGGAAAATGCTAGCTCTGTAGGATGATGATATAATATTAGTGCAGCACATATGTTGCATTTCTGCATCTACATACAAGAAGTATTTAGGTAGTGTATTTTTAATAAACAGAAAGAAAAGAATCTGGAGCTGCATATATGTGAGCTGGAAAGGGTAAAGTGACACATATATGTCCAACTTGTTAATGGGAACAAATCTTTCTAAGGTTGTGGGCAGCTTGTCACCAATACAAATGCAGTGAAAGGCCTGCAAAAGTTACTAGTTCAATTGCAACCTCTCTGGTTTCCTACGCTTTGTACTTACTCCCATTTAGGAGTAATTATTAGCTGTGTAGGGGACCCATATACACAAGTATTTGCTAATACTGACTGCTGAGAAGGTGACAAGTGTAGTGACACTGTGAGTAACTATTTGTGACTGTCCCATCAATATCCCCATCACAGGAGTCCCACTTTCCATGTGGAGAAGAGATAGAGCAGTCGATAAATGCAGAGAAAGCAACAGATTTTTTTTCTAAGGAGCTGAATGTATTTTTCCAGGGTAAGAACACCTAGTTTTAAGATACTGACTTAAGACATTTATCTTGGTCTGCTTGTTTGGCTCCCATGAAGCTAACACTCTGTTATTTCATTCAGATAATACCTACTGAGGCCAAATGTTGATGCATACCTACTTATTCATTATCTTTATTATTATTACTATTATTTAAAAAAAATGATCTGCAAAGGGAATACAGCAGTCCCAGTGAAATGATCTTTGAAAAGTCAGCAACTTTATAGGAGCCTTTAATAATTCAGCTAACTCTGCATGGGATAAATGTTCATTCCAAGCGTATAGAGAACAAAAATGTGCTTTTTCTTTTCCCCCTCACAGCCTCCAAGTAAAGTTCTTTCCAGCATCTTGGGAAAGAGCAATCTTCAGTTTGCAGGAATGAGCATAATGCTGAATATCTCCACCACCAGCTTAAATCTAATGACGCCTGATACGAAACAGGTGAGTTGAACTGCCATAATAGTAAAGCTTTTGATGAATAGCCTGCT